TCCTGCAGCAGACATACAGACAGCTGTTGCTCCGCAGGAGGAGACCCGCTCTAACTGACGTGGATGTTTCAAATGTGAACGACAGGCGCGGACAGTTCTCATTGGCAGGTTTCTTCGATTACGTTTATATTAACCAATCAGGAGTGTTGTGGACTCATTCCAAACATGCCTGACTTGTCTGCCGTGTTATGGCTGAATTCTATTTCAAGTGCCGTAGCTCTGGCTGTCGGCCAGAATCCGAAAACCATACACACATTATACTGCATGTAAGACTAAGGCTTATTACTGTATATTGACCAATGGAAAAAAAAACACTGCAACAGAACACATAAATAAAACAAGGATAACTGTTATTGTTGAGTAAATAACAGTGTGTGTTTTAAACCTGCAGAGATTGCACTTTCTATGATTTTATTTTTTTTAATGATATTGTCAACTGTAGATGTTTACAATATAGTAAGTTAGGAATTTAATGAAAACATATTTATTTACTTTTGTTTCAACATTGGATATTTTGTGTTTGTGGTGGATTCAATCGAATATTGAGAAAATGATTTATGTAAAAATGTTTTACTTAAATTTTACGTTTTTTTTATTTGACGCTTTTTTTTACAGTTTTATGTTTACCTTAAAATTACAAAGAAATATCTTAAAGTCTTATAATAGTAATACACTTTTATATTACGAGTTACATATTTAATTACAGATAATACTTTTTATTTTACGTACATCTGCATGTATTTTCTGAAAGTGCAAAAATACTTTAAATATTATATAGTAAATTTACTGTAAAAAAAAATGAAATAAACGTTATTTGTTGTTATTGTCAAAATACTTAAAATAATGTTTTGGGTTGTTAATTTATAGTTAATATCTGTCATTTTACAGGAATTTGCAAGTTATTTAAAAAAACATGATAATTACTATAAAAATGTACAGTTATTTCCTGTAAAATTACGATCTTTTTTTACAGTGTATGTTTAATTAATTGTGTTAATATGCCTAGATTGCCTACTCTCAAAGTCATGTATTATATTATTGAGTCAATAATATAATACATTAACCGTGCTTTACCTGAACCTCATCATGACACTAGAGAGGACGGCAGGATTGTAATTTTCCGTGTTCAGTGAATGCAACAGAGGCAAGACACCAGACCAACCAGAGAGTTGAATGGAAATAAACATCTGTCTTATTGGCTGACAGGTACCTATCCTGTGAGCTGTGACAATGTTTAAAATAAACTGTCAGTCGGACTCAGAGTTTTTGAAGATGGACATAAGAAAAACATTTCTTAAAAAAAACGAATATTCTCAAGTGGTGGCTCACACAACAACCCCAGAGCCACCGCTTGAGCCAGGTAAACAAGGTATGTAAATGTCAGTAAACTTCCAAGTTATGCGAACATGTAAACAAAGCATAAATTACAGCTACGTTGACATTACTTTGAATCGCGGGGGTAAGCTAAACCGTTAGCAAGTAGCTATAGCTAGCCAGATATATTAAATAAACACTTTGTCATTCAATCTAAATGTAATGTTTTTTAGCGTTACCTGTTGATTTCAAAGAAAGCTCTCTGGGAAATGTTGACTTACTGTTCGACATGAAGCTAGAAGCTACCTTACAGTACACAGTTGATCCGGAGTCCTCTCAGTTAAAGTGTTTCATAGTTAGCTTAGCTAAGCATCAACCTAGCACTGAAATATATGGATGTTATGTGACAGTATTTCTGAGAAAAAGTCAGCTGAAATGGTGGCATAGTTGCCACTGCTTTACGTGTCGACAGCATGTTTGAACGTATTTGCAGCAGTAAATGTGGCTGTTTGGCCACTGACGTTGCCATAACAACACCTGCATTTAAATGTGCAACCTCTTTTTGTGACAGATTTTTGCAAGAAATTAGAATTCTTCTGAATGATATTCCTATTGACAGCTAGTTTCTATGTGAACATTATGAGATGGACAGCCAGAGAGAATAAATGAAAAACAGTTATGAAATACTATATGACAAAACAAGAATACAGTTTAAGTGATTTGTAAAATATCCATAAAGAAAAATCTGTTTACAGTTCTGTTTCATATGGGTGTTGAGAGATGTATCCATTGATCTCTTAATTTTGCTCTCAAAGTGCACCAGATTGATGCTTTTAACTTCAATATTTAAAAAAAAATCTTCCCGGGGGAGCATGACCCCGGACCCCCCTAGAGGAGGTGAGGACCCCCCTAGAGGAGGTGAGGACCCCCCTAGAGGATGTTAGGTCCACGGTGTTTACATGCTTATTTATACAATATGTGTGCTTATGCTAACATCATAAGACAAAAGTTGGTTCCGTGTTGTGTGTAGTGAGAACGCGCTAGAGTGAGGGGGGCCCCCAAGCCAAAGCTCGCTTAGGGCCCCCAAAAGTCTAGGGCCGACCCTGTAATCACGCATTAATTTATGTTTCCAACGCATTACCAAAAAATGTGTGTGTGATTTGCCTCTCTACTACCACATAACCGCCAACATGTTTGTTGTGTACAGGTTTGTTGTGTACAGGTTTGTTTACTCATAATTTTAGGAGTTATGAAGAATCTAATGAGGTTTTTCCACCCAAACTCTCGCCAAGGCCTTGAGATTGTGGTGGTTTGTAGTGATTGGCACATGTTGAGCCATTCCTCTGTTGTAATTTCAATGCTAAGTTCCTTCTCCCATTTTTTCGATGTAAACAGTAGAAGTATCCCTAATATCTCTTGTGTTTTTGTGTAGAGCTGAAGTTGCCTTGAGTCTGGTCCGATTGTATGTCCGTATCAATATATCGATCACTCCGTTTGAGGTTTTTGTTTTTATTTCCTTTATAAAATAGTCTCTCAATTGTAGATATCTAAAAAAGTCACTATTTTCCAATCCGTATTTCTCTTTCAAATCCACAAAACTCATCATACTTCCGTTCTTTGTTACTGTACACATCGCTGTGATCCCTTTTGTCTCCCACCTTTTAAAGTTTTGATCACCTTTGGTTTAAACCTATTGTCATAGGCAAACCAGCTCAATATGTTTACTTCCCTTTCTAGTTTGTAGTGTTCAGACTTATTGGATCAATTGAGTCCTGTAGTGCCTTAAATGTTTCGACATTACCAATTAGAGACTGGATTGGGATGCCGGAAACCTTCATCTCAATTTCTTTCCACTTTGCACTATAGTCCTTATCGCACCACTTAATTACTGAACCTAGTTGTGCTGCATAATAGTAGTCTTTCAGATTTGGTCGTGCCATACCCCCTTTTCCTAGGCCAATTATAATGTACACAATTTAATTTGCGGTTTCTTACCAGTCCAATCAATCTAGAGATCATCTTATCCCAAATTTGAAACTTTTCTTTGGGAATCTTAATTGGAAGTGATTTGAAGAAATATAGCAGTCTAGGGAATATGTTCATTTTAATTACTTCAATTCTTGAGCTTAGGTCTAGTGTCAAGGTTGTCCATCTCTTTATGTCTTTTTCAATCTGTGAGTGGATCTTGTCATAATTTATTTTATAGAGATGAGTCAGTCGTTTTGTTAGCGTCACACCAAGATCATTTATAGATTTTGAGTCCCATTTTAATTGGAAGTTGCTCTTCATTCCTTGAGTGGGTATAAAGGCCAACATCTGTGTTTTATTAACATTCACCTTGTATCCTGAATGGTCACCATATATTTGTATAAGGTTCATCAGCTGGATAAAGCTTCTATTGGTGTTTTCGAGATATATTATAGTATCATCCGCCAATAGACTCACTATGTGTTCCTGTCCTTTAATCCTAACTCCCTGCAGCTCTTCACTTTGCCGTATAGCCTGTGCTAGAGGTTCAATGTATAGAGCGAAGAGGAGTGGGGACAAACAACCTGCCTCTTTTTAATACTATTCTTTCTGTTAGACTACCATTCATTTTTATTCTAGCTGTGGGATTTTGATAGATAGTTTCAATGCACTTAATTGAGTCCTTATTGAATCCAAACTGCTCTAGTACTAGATAGAGAAAGTTCCAGTTCACGCTATCAAAAGCCTTTTCAGCATCTAGACTTACCAAAAGAGCACTTATAATAAAAAAGCTGACTAAATGTTCCCTATCTGTAGATATTCACTTTGAATGATGCAGCACACTTTGATCATTTATAGCTTATTTCTTCCTGACACAACCACTGATCTTCAATTCAGAAGCGAACACGCTTTGACACATCTTACTGTTTCTTTTTAAGGCCATACATTATGGGATTGAAGAGAGGTGGGCATGTAAGGAAGTTATATATTTGTTTTAATATACTCAACATGTTGGGCGTGTAATATTTTACAATCAAATCAAATCAAATCAGGGTTTATTTATAAAGAATATTTAAAAGCGATTTTTGGTCGGGCCAAAGTGCTGTACATGTAATAACTACAATCACAATCTTTCAAAGAGGTTGATGAGGAAAGCGTGGTGAGGTGTGCAGCTTTCTGTGTGCTCTGATTACGACCAGAGAAACACACTCTGAGGATCCTCATGTACGAGTAGAGGATATAATTAGAGGACAAAAGAATAACTGTTGAGAAAAAAAAAGTGTATTCCTCTTCTGACTCAAACTGAACCAATCTGTTACATGTTATTCCCAACACAGGCTGACACCAGATTTGTACACAGGATGTATATTTGGGACACATTACATGTGAGAGAATACAATGGTGAACATATTGTCAACATATTGGGAACTTAGTTGATATGAAGCTGCTCTGTGTCTGTTCACAGCGAGAAGCTTCATTCAGCTTTAACTTCAGCTTCACTCCTAACGTCCTGACTCATGGACCTTTCAGGGTTCTCCTAAAATCACTGAGGCTGATATGAAAAGTGAAAAGCAAGATAAGAAACAGAAAGGGAGAGCAGCATCAAGCTCAGCACATGTACAGCTGCACGTTTCATTTCCTTCCTCTGCACACAGTGAACTAGACACGTCATTAGAGTTAATACTGCTGAAGTCAGAGTCCTTTCATTCTCTTTCTCTGCAATCTCTTGATGACCTACACTTCTCCGTACAACAGACGCTTACATATGATGCGGATTTTAGACATCTTCAGCCCGTACAGGACTGGGGTAAAGAGAGGCTGGCATGATAGATAATAGGATAATAAAACGCTCAGAATGTTGGGAACACTGCTCATATCAAACCTGCTCTGTAATATCTGGAAAAAAACTCCAAAAAAGAAGTTAAGCAAGGAAGCGAGGTGAGGTGTGCAGGTACTGAGAGCTTTCTGTCTGGTCTGTTTGGAGCCAGAGAAACACACTCTGAGGATCCTCATGTACGTGTAGAGGATTAAAAGCAGAGGAATGATGATGGAGATGACCGTGTTAAAGAGTCCATAAATGTTATTGACCCTGGTGTCAGAGCAGGCCAGCTTAACAATGAAGTAATTCCCACAGTACACTTTGTTAATGATGTTCCCACACAGCGTTAAAGACACACTTAAGGATATCATAACAACAATTGCAAGAAAAGGGAACAACCATGACACTGTAATAAGAAAAGAAGCTTTGTTAGATGTCATATATGTGTTATATTGCAGAGGATAACAGATAGCAAGATATCTGTCATAAGACATGACGGTTAAGTTAAAACATTCCACGCACACATATGTATACACAGAATAAATCTGCAGGAAGCAGAGCGGAGCAGAAACAGTGTGAATGTCAGAGAGGATCTGAACCAGAAGGAATGGAAACGACCCTGTACTACCATACAGTTCATTTACAAACAGGCTGCACAGAAAAAGGTACATAGGTTCATGTAAGCTCCTGTTCACACAGATAACCACAATCAGCAACATGTTGGCACCTATAATACAAATATACAAAGCCAGAATGATCAGGAAATATAGGTATTTAAAAACCCCGGTGTCAGAGTATGCAGTCAGTATAAAATAGGAAGCTTCCGTGGAGTTAACCATGATCCTCCTGTTGTTAAAGATTTAGAACATTATGTTAAAGATGAGCACAGATAAAGCATTATTCAACAACTATACATCCAACAACAGAAACCTGTGTCAAATGTGAAACAAATGTCAGACAACAGTTGTGTTTCACCTGCTACACCTGAGCTGGAGTCACGACCAGAGCTCATGACAGGGACCTTACTATCTGACAATATGTGGAGGGGGGGGACAGGGACAGCGTGGGAGTGGTTTCACTGGACAGACCTCAAAGCACATCTGGTTTCTAATAATTACTGACTGACGTGAAAACCTCAAAGATTTTTTTTTGTTAAATATCTTGCACTTATCTCAGTAAAATGTCCCGGGTAAAAGATTGTCTCAATCACTTCAGACAGCATCTCTGAACGAAACAAAACCCAGATGGTGGCAGCCAAGAACCACGAGGGTGACGCTCCAAAACCAAGGTGGCAATGTGCAAAGACGGAGAAAGTGACTGTCCAACCTTTGGATAGCCAAGGTGTAAAATGTGCTTCTTCCGCATGGACGCTGATAAACACTTCCTTGGGGGGAAAGTTCCAAGACCCATAGATCAGTGAAGGGTCCCTAAATTGACTAGTTTTACTTTTGGGCACCTTTTGAAAGAAAGCAAGATTAAAGCACTTTCCATTGCAAAAATACAGATTTTCAAAGTTTGGGCTTTTTCCAAGGCCTTTTTTTTTGCACAAATCCACCAGAAGGCCCCCTCTTTGAAGTGTTTCCACTGAACTCCCTCTACAGTGTAAATAGCTCAAAGAGCCCTATGGCTAATTTCTTGATCAGAATGAAGCATCCTGAAGATACTTTCACTCCTTTCACTCCAGGGGAAGGGTGGGGGTCAGGCTGGGATTGACCCAGGAAAGGGCACTCTAATGGCGCATTTCCACTGCAGGCCCTCGCACGGCTTAGTACGGTATAGTTAGGCCTTGGTAGGCCAGGCTCACTTTATGCTGCGTTTCCATTACAGTTTAGGAACTGGGGTAGTAACTATAGTAACGCAGTGTAGGCGGAGCCGTGACGTCATCTTCAATGCGAAACACAAAACCAACATCAGCCGTTAGCTGTTAGCTGTTAGCACTCAAGCTCACAGCTCCTCATATCTGTTCAGAAACTAGACAAAAGTTAAACAAGTACAAACCACAGACTGTCTGTGTCATGGCGAATACAGTCGCTGGTTTATTTATGTCTGTATAGGCCGTTGTTGTGAGTGTGGACGGTCGGAGCATATATAGCGTTAGCTTAGCCGATCTCCATTCAGAAAACACGCATTTTAAAAGGTTTTTCGCCTGTCGTCTGTCTACTAACCGGTATCAGTACACAGCAAAAACCACAGTGTACATTGTACTCTATAAGATTACATTTAACACCAGTCTCGGGATGTATATAGGTCCAAGAGTTTGGTGTTCTCTGAACACTGTCAAAAGAGTAAAATATAAACTCCAAATAAAGAGTTCGATTTGAACACTTTGGGAGTCAAAATATACACTATAACTGGTACTTTTTTGACACTGTTTGAGTGCTCTCCAACACGTGCAGTGTATACCTAGAACCCTCAGAGAGTTAAAAATGTACTTAGTCAGTCTTTTAGTGTCACTGTGCAGAGCTGATTATTCAACACTTTGAGAGAGAAAATGTACTCCATGGTCATTTTTCACACTGTTTCAGTGCTGTTTAGCTGGTGTACACCAAACAAACAATTTTGGGGTGAATCATTAACACTTCAGGAAATAAAGTACACATCAGATTCTTGAAAAAATGCGTTTATTTTCAAAAATTTGATTTTGATGTGTTTTAAATATAAAATCTAATCAGTAGCAACATCAAACAACCCACAAAATACATTGGTCATAGGTGGAGATGTGTGTACATTTGCTCATTAGGCCTCTTTAGCCTGGGGAAGCACTTTAGAGGTCATCATTCCAAAATCCTGTTACAACAAATGGACAACGTGGAATACCATACACTAGTGCTAATTTGTAAAGTAAACTGACAACAATAGTGTTTTGAAAGACTAACAATCACCGAGCAGGATGACCAACATCTAAAAGTGTACATGGCAACCAGTTTACATCAATGTTGTAGATCAGGGGTGCCCAACCGGTCGATTGCGATCGACCGGTCGATCGCGGGGAGATTCCCAGTCGATTGCGAGATTCCCAGTCGATTGCGAGATGTGTCTAAAAATAGAACAACAATATTCTGTTTTATCGTTAATGTCCTATAACATAATCTTCCTGTGCCAGAATAATGCACTTGAACGCATCAAAGCTTTGTGATTGGCCGGCGTGACCCCATGTGTCGGGGCGTGGCTGGTGGGCAGTGGGCACTATTTCGCTGACGTTGTCCGTGTCAACAGGAGTGACAGTCCGCACACACACAAGACCGCAATTATGGCAGAAGCAAAAAAGCCCAAAATATATAATTTTCACTCCGAGTGGGAGGATGATTATTTTTGTATCTATTCCAATTCAAAGTCCATCTGTCTCTCATCTGCAATGCGAGCGTGGCTTTATCGAAGAAGGGTCATTGAGGAGCGGCATTTCAAAACAGTGCACAAACGCTACGAGACGGAATTCCCTCCTAACTCTGCCCTACGCTCCCAAAAGGTGAGGGACCTGAAAGGACAGCTAAATGCACAGCAGTCCATTTTCACCAGGCCCAACAACAAGAGCAAGGCTGCTACCATAGCATCTTATCGTGTCAGGCACGTTCTTGCGAAACACATGAAGTCTTTCAAAGACGGCGAAGTTGTGAAAGAAGCATTCCTAGAGGCTGCCGAAGCGCTTTTTGGGGACAGTAAAAATAACAGTAGCATTTCAACAGGTTTTTGATATAATAAAAACTCAAGTTAGATACCGTTATTAATCAGCTGTAAGTTTTAGTTTGTTTGAACTTATTCATTATAATTATTGTACAAAATGGTATAAGAATGCAAACTTAAATTGATTATAGTCTATTATCAATTCAGGTTAAGAAACTAGTGTTGCTTGCATCCTATTTTAAAGGCATTTCTTTTTATACTCTACTAAAATGCAGCAGATTCCTGTGTAGCTTCAGATCTGAGTTGTCTTATTAGTAAGCCTAATTTATACTTTTGTAAGTAAGTAAGTAAGTAAAACTTTATTTATATAGCACCCTTCTCAACACGAATGTACAAAGTGCTTTACATACAATACACAATTCACAGTACAACTCAAATGTAGAATAAAAGGCATAAAAAGGCATAAAACAACAGCAGGTAATACATAGGATAAAACATACGATAAAACACCAATAAAAGACAGCTACTAACTCACCTCCTCCGATGCCCCAAAGGCCTGACGGAAGAGGTGGGTCTTTAACTGCCCCTTAAAAATCTCTTTGTTCCAGAGCCTTGGGGCCACCACCTCAAATGCACGGTCCCCCTTTGTTTTTAGCCTGGTTCGGGGCACCCTTAGGAGGCCTTGCTCAGAGGACCTCAGGGCCCGGGTTGTGCTATGAGGGAGGATCAGGTCATTGATGTAGGCTGGGGCTTGGCCATGGACAGCTCTATATGTGAAAACCAATACCTTGAATTGGGTTCTGAGATGGACAGGGAGCCAGTGCAGGGCAGAAAGAATCGGAGTGATGTGGCATGTTTTTTTGGACCGAGTGAGCAATCTGGCAACACTATTTGTATAATATGGCAAAGAAAGGGTTCAGAGTATTTTCTTTTTTTCCTGTGTCATATGTGGCAGCACTGTTCAATGTTTCTTGAAAACATGACCCACTGTAGTTTGTGACGTGTGAATAAACTCCAACTCTGTATCACCAACACTGTTGTGTAACTTCAGTTAAATACTTGTATGTGTGTAGATTAGAAAGAGGTAAGATAAAGGATCTGCAGTATTTTATGAAGTATTAATCGTACAAAGGTCAGTTTTATACAAGTAGAAGTGTGTATTTACCTGGTTGTCGGCTGTCAGTAATGTCTACGCCTCTCTATTTGGACTGGTAGATCTCGGCAGACTGGCCACTTTAAAAGTAGCTCTCGGTTCAAAAAAGGTTGGGCACCCCTGGTGTAGATGGTGGTCTGCAAAAATGTGTACATGCCGTTTAAGGCCTGGTCATAGGAGATCCCAAACACATAATGTGCTTTAAAAAGTTCATCAAAACTGACAGGGAAGACTTGGCCATCCAACTCCTGAAGGCTGGAGATGACTGTAAGATAACAATAAACACAAATATAACTACACTGTACATCATATTTTGATGGATGGGTCAGACACTGACAAAAACCTTTGATAGCAAATCAGATCAGCTCGGCCATTACCATGAACAGAAGTCAAATGCAACATACACATTAATGCAGCAGTAATATAAAACCTAAAAGCATCCCAAAAATAGTAAAACACTGACAGGGACAATTTCACTGCACAATGAGTGCTTTTACTTATACTTAAAGTACATTTAGCTGATTATACTCGCATACTTTTACTTAAGTCAGGTTTTAAGTACAGGCCTTTTACTTATAGTATATTCACAGGGTGGTATTTGTACTTTTACTTAACTTAAATCATATGAAACTTCCTCCACAACTGGAATTGGTCTATTGCACATGTTAACAGCATTATATCAGGTGGGAGGCGAGAGCTTCGAAATCATTCATTCTACATGAGTAACGTAAATTGGCGGCAGCAAAGCTAACAGCTGCTAACGTTAACGGTCTCATTATTTCAAACGGTGCCTGCAGACTAGAGTTGATTATGGATTAAAAAAACATTTATTCAAGGCCGTTGCGGCACTTCCGTAACGTTACCCCCTGTCGAATGATTGGAAAGAGGAGCGGTTTTCCCCCTGAGTCAGTGTCAATGAAGCCTAACAATTAACACGGGAGCGGCAGCTAAAATAGCAAAGAAATACATCTTTCGTTGTCAGAATAACGTTAATCTGATTGACTACGGCTAACGTTACCACTACAATAACTTCACAAATATTCTACTTGCTAACGTTATCGTTTT